CTGCATATTTTAAAAGTGTTAAAGTAATGGCAATGTTGTTTGTGTGCTTAATAAGTGTGAGAGAGAAGAAATGGGCAGGGGCAGACAAAAGTTAAATTTGATTTAATTTAAATAAAATATATTAGTACTATTAGCCATCTCATTTTTGGCAGGGGTGCTGGAGACTGTATGTAAAGCTTTCAGAAACTGCCGGTATCTCTGGAGCCACAGACTGAGTGAGTACTTCTGTATATATGTTAGATTCTGTCTGTAGCACATCCAATTGTTAAATAGATTAGAAGGCAGGAGTGGGAAAAACCTCTCAACAGACTGTGAAAAGCACCAACAAGTCATTGGATCAACAAGAACTGTCTTTGTAAAGGAAGCTTCATTACCTTCACAACTGTGAAAATTATGACACTTCAGTATACATTTTTTTTAAAAAAAAATATTTATACTGTGTAAGCTGCCTAGGGTCACACTTGTGATTGAATAATAAATCTCTATTTTTGTGTAGTTCAAATATGCTCTATGTTTTTATATTTGTATTTTATTTATGATACAACATATATGAATTGGTCTGAAGATCACTAGAAGCTTTACTATTTTTGATAAACAATTCCTTATGATGGACAAAAATGTAGTTCTTCTTCTCGAACACAGAAACTCAATTCCTGAATCAGAGTCAGAAAGGAGGAAATGTTTCCTTAAATGTCAAGGAGTTTCTGTTCTTTTGCAGTTCTGCAAATGCCTCAGCTGACTATAATGAGCGGTCACAAAGATCACTTATTAAAGCTACTGTGTCCTTATCTTCTTGCAACTATAAGGCTGAGTCTAAGCTGATAGAGCCAAAAGGAAAAAGAAAGAAATGAGCAGTTGGTTTGTTAATACAGTAACTTACTTAAGTTATCTGCAGTAAGTAAGCTTTTGTATGTCATAGTATCATCATGCAATTGACACAGATCTGCATCACTCCTCTCATGCGAATTAGGTAATTCATGTAAGTCATGACACATATTGTGACTCCTTACAAATGGCCAAGGCCTGACTTTATGGAAGCTTTTTGTGATTCTGAGATACACCTACATACTTTATCCTTATTTCTTTAATATTGCATTAAAAATATCTATTATAAACATTAACTTGGTAATAGAAGAAGAAATTAAAAACATTTATGCTATTTAAAATAGAATGCATACATCAGGTCTCAATTGTGTTAAAAGATAAAGCAATAAAAGAATAAGGGGGAGAAACTTTGATGATGCTAAATATAGGAAATGCTCCCTTTGCTCAGAGTATTCAGATCCAATTTCTGCTAGTGTGGCAAGAATGCATACTTCCAGATTCAGTGATATGCATTAATGGTCTCTTTAGGACAATTGCAGGTATTCTTTTTAAAAAAATAAAAATAAATAAATTGCCATGTAAAAGAACAGTGCATATTTGAAAATACTAATGACAAATCTTTGCCATATATTTAAGCATCTCAGTTCCAGCAAAAATACTTGCATTGTGGGTTACTGGAATTATATTTTCATGGGACAGAATTCAAATCTCTCATTCATGAAATTCTTTGGATGATTTTAAGTCAGTCCTTGTTTCTATTTCACAGAGTTATAAAAATAAAATGAGGGAGGAGGAAGAAAAATTCATGCTCTCTTATGATAGTTTAAGGCAGGTAGCATACATAAAAAGAGAACAAATACTATTTAATATAATGAATTCTGCATTAAAGTCTAGGATTTGTTTTATTAAAAACAAACAAACAATGAAATTGGGAAATTTCTTTGCCTGAAACTGAAGGATAGGAAGTATTATATGAGTAGGTCAAAGACAAAAAAAATGGCATTTCAGTATTTAGTTAAATATAATCTTGTATCATTTTCACACTGAAGAGCTATTTTTAGAATAAATCCTGCCAAGTAATGAATACAGCTTTTATTTTCCACAATCGTTTCATCTCTGACGGTTGCACATAATGAGTAGTGGGTCATTCCCCACATAGTCATCTGTATGCATATGGACATAAATCATGCACACATGCACTTTGTATACATAAAAAGTGTTCCCCTTCTATCCAGTTACTTTGATATAAACGAGATTACTGGAAGGAAAGCTAACATCACTGTTCTCCTCTCAGTTCTTCTCTGTATATTTTCTGACTCATGGATATTGTAGGTCCATTCTCATCAGAACTATTATATCTTAATTGCAAAATTCTGAACAATTACTGAACAGCAGTAAGGAAGTAGGTGGTCATCCAGATTTTTTCAAGGTAGCTATTCTAGCATTGATCACAATTTCCTTCAGGAAAAAGTCATCTTCATTAAAGCTTTTGATTATTGCAATGTCCAGCAACAACAATGACTGCTATATAGAAAAACCCACAGTATTAGATATTTTGTATTTGCACTGAAAAACTCTATGATTGTTTCTCCTTGCAGAAAATTCAAGTGGAATATTGACAGATAAAGATTAAAAAGGTAGATGGAAAATGGGAGACTTGTGAACACATGAAGAACACTTATTTTTTTCAACTATATTCTATGAACAGCTGGAAGCTGAGTGTACCTGCTAGCTATACTTTTACAATGCAAGTGTAGTTAAACTCACTTGCCAAGTAAAGCTTTGATTCAACAGATAAAAACTAGTTAGTATCCATTTAGTTATTGAAAAAGAAGCCATAGATTTTTCTTTTTAAAAAGTGTTTGGACACAGCTATAGATAGTTATACCCAAACTCCTGAGGAAATGTATTTGATCTTAAAATGCTATCTTACTATCCCCTGAGCTGTCCTTTTCCTGTTTGATAGAGTGAGATGGGATGAGATGGGATGGGAATGGAAGGGAAAGGAATGGGAGGGAAGGGAGTGGTTTTACTTTTGATTTTGGCCTTTTCTCCTAACGATTTGTAGTCATATAAAATCATAGTAATTGCCCACCAACTTTGGGACTTATCTAGTACAAAGCAAGCAATAAAAAAATTAGAAACTGGATAAAAAACCCTAAGTCTTGGGTAAAATAAATCCATCTGTAAAACTATGAGACAAAGTGGCCAATCATATCTTCAATGACAAGTTCCATGGTTAATACAAAACCATGCACCCTCCGGTCCACGGAAGAACCTCTCTCCATGGAACCGGTCCCTGGTGCCCAAAAGGTTGGGGACCTCTGGTTTAGATCACTGAGACAAAAAATATGATTAGAACAACAGTGCTGCCTCAGTTAGGGTTTTCAGAACTCCCTTAAGTGGGTAGGAGCAAATTATTTGAATGGTTTTAAGTTTCATGGGTTAAAGGACTATTTATATTTTAACTGTTCCCCCTAAATCAGGTCCTAAAGGACCTACTTACTTTGTGTGACCTTTATACTGATATAACTTCAGCATTTTTGGTTTAGGCTGTGCCATGAGGAAGCAACATTTAGCTATTTATGCTAGTATTGGTATCAAAAAAATACCCTGTTGAAAAATTAAGAACATATAGCAGTAGATGGTCTTGCAAGTTGTGAAACAAAAATCATTCATCCAAAGGTTATATTATTATTAAAAATTACAAGTATCCTCTCTTGAAAAACAAAAAAACACATTTTGATTTCACTTTTCAAATTTGATCCTCAAGAGAAGCATAGTTGATAATTGTAAGATCATAAAAGTAGGATAAATTATATATAAACATGCACTGTGCTACTTTAAATGCTATGTGCACTGAGATCATTTTAAATGAGAAAAATTGCAAATGAAATTTGCACTGTAACTTCTTCTAACCCTTTCCTTTTAATTAATAGCTTTATCCTTTTTCTTTTATAAATATAATGATAGATCAAGTGTCATCAAGTTGTTGATCCAGGCACCTTTATTGAATAGCAGCAATATAGAAAGACCCTGGAATCAGATGATCACTTTAGTAACAATGGCATGGACATCAATTAATATTATGTGAAAGGAGGCACTGTTAAACCTTTCCTATATTTTCATCAAGGAAACCACATCGATATAAAATACGAAATGTATTGACTGCTCTTCAAAACAAAGTTTTGAATTCACTTACAAAGATATCAATTTCAATCTTAACAATTTCAATCTCAGTAGCAAAAATAATTACATATAAACACAACAAACATGCATATAAAGTTTCACATATGTTGATGAGGGCCACCAATTTGAAAATAATTCAGAGTAAGTTTAATGCCGAACACATATCCTACTTCCATTAGGAACAAAACAGATTCAATATCACCTTCTGACCACTCTATATCAAGCTTAAATTCCAATATAACATTGTACATGTGTACAATATAGTACAATAAATACAATATTTAATATGTTTGATTAGTTCATGTCCAAATACTGCCAGAAGACCTCATGGCCATACTCTTACAACTCTCTTGCCTTACCTCTGCATGAATCTATCTGGATGTAGCAAAATGGCATTTTCAGCATTGAGGAATTTGCTACTCTGGGTTTAAAGAAAGTCAGCACATTAGCAACAAAACCTGCTGAGCTGTTCCCTCAGTGGCTAACTCATGCTAGCCTATAAGGAACTTTTATATTGAAAGGCTTCAAGCAGGAGAATGCATTCCAGAAATTTCAATGGAATTCTGCCATGATTTTGATGGAACTGAAGCACAACCAACCTTTTCTGCCTTAGGCTTCTTTATTTGTTTTGCAAATGGGGTGCATTTTTCCCCACTCAAAATATTCATTTTCAAGACAAGCTCATAAAGACTGGTCTTTTTGATAATAATGTAAGTACACGTATCTGACATTCAAGTAGAAAATGTTGGAAAGGAAGAAGGAGGTAGAGTCACCAAAATTGTACCTATTACAAGAGAGAACTTTCCTCCATTCTGACAAGGCAGACTAATTAGATTTGTCTTTATGGATCCATTTCATCAATACCTGAGATGAGCTATATCCAATGAAGAGACAAGTGAAAATACTGTGAAATTCTGTAGTTGTTTCCCCCCCCCAATTATCCATAAACCCAGGGGAGGGGGTGGAATAGAAAGATCAGTGCGTACCTCAAAGTCATTTGCTTTATTGTAGTGCATGTTGAGGGCTCTGTACAGCTCACAGTCTCTGGTTATAGACAGCTCTTCAGTGCTTGTTACACCATCATTGATGGCTTGACGTGCATACTTCTCCATCTGAATGTAGTAGAACTCACGGAAATTGCTAAACCACTTGATGAGCTGAGAAGTAATACATCTGTTGAACTGTTAAAGTGTAAAGAGTACAAAGGATTAGATCATTGACATTTCCTCCTTTTCCTCCCCACAGCATTCTTACATCCCTTCCTCTTCCCTACCCTCACAAAGCTCATCTTCAAAAGCTTTTAAACCTGAGGGATAAGGAGATACAAGAGGTTGAGTCAGATGATATAAAAATATTGCACCAAACTTTTAAATAGCAAAATACTCTTTGAGTCTCATTCCTGAAGTTGCTATCCAATGCACTACTGTCCTACGAGACACAGCATCAGGCATGGAAAATATTTCAAGATTTCTAGGCACCACTATCAAGATTCTGGCACTTAACCTAGCAGGTGCCTTGGATTTTCAAGCTTTGTACAATAGCCAAAGCATCACTATCAATAGTAAATTAATACAAGATTCTATTGAGGACATTTATGGAATGATGTACAGGGTAAAGAGGAAAACATGAGTTGCCTATTATATCATATTTTTATGGATCCCCAATTAATAAGAGTTTAACATTGTACAAGATTATAGGTTCTGATTTTGAAAGTTAAATGATGTATATGTAAGGCAGAACAGAGAACATATTTTCTGACATTAATGTGGGGAACATGTACTTCTGCATATAAAATTTAAATTTTGTTAACTCAGTAATGCATCTCCTTAACTCATAGGGAATAAAACTAACATGAAAAATGTTGGTATCTTTCAGGATGAGTTTTCTTACTATTTCCTATGACCTTTGAACTGAAGATGTCATTTAGGCTATGCTGCAGCTGATACCCTCTTATTGACAGCCTCTTCTATGTGTAAAGGACAGATGCAACTCAACTTGCCAAGTTAAAGCCAATAAATCCATAGCTATATATCAGGCAAGCTGATATACTATCCCCTGCCTTTTGTCATCACAGGCATTCACTTCCCCTGGCCCCCAGAAAGAGATGTGCATTAATCAAAAATCAACAAAGAACACTTATCAAATGCTGGCCATGAGGACATCCAGGCCTCCAACAAGATGACAGCTAAAGTGTGCATTGGGGCTGTAATTACTACACAGAAAGTTGTTTCCATGCTAGCAAAGATAATAAACGAATGAAAATTTATGGCAGAGAATCTAAGCAACAAGGAAACAGAAGCAGGGAGACTGGTGTTTCTCCCAAAAGGCCAACTTGCATCATAATTGCCATGCAGTTGCAAGGGTCCTTACAGATAATTGACCAGAAAATGATTAAGTCATCATCAAATCGCTTCTGCTTGCAAGAGTTCAAACATGTACTTAACCTATCCAAGAATTATATTTTCACTGTGTGTCTGCTCTGTCTCTATTCAGCCCTTGCGGGGAACCTGATTAAAAAGACAACTGAAGGACCCCTGTTATCTGATCTTCTGCTTACTGATTTCAATAGAACTTAAACCCATTACGATTTGCTGAACTTGGAGTTCTTTCCATTTTATCTCAGTAGTAAAATACATTGTCCAAATTTCCAGACACTGAGATAAGGACTACAGGCCCTGTGACAGCTTACTGTTCCTTTTTAATTCTTTTAGAATAAGAAACAAAACATTACAAAATGATAGCAGAGTGTGCACTGGGGAATGAAAATTGCTTTGACATGGAGATTAGACTCTTGCATTGTTACAAGACATTGTCTCATATGGACAAGAGTTCTGGAGAGAAGAAAAATAGAAAGAGGACTCCCCCCCCCAAATGGTCGTGAATGTGGATAGCAAAAAAAAAAAAAAAGTAGGTACACACATATCATTATTTAACAACAGGATACAAAGGGAGATTTAATATTTAGTGTTCAGACATGAAAATGGGGAAGGGGAAGAACTAAAAACAATAGAAATATAACACATGGAGAAACATGTGTTATACAAAAACATCTGAAAGATAAGTTAACACAAATGCATGTGGAAGATAGACAGACACACACATACGTAGACAAACATGCACACATACATACATACATACACCTCTGCCCTTGCCTCAAAATTTTAGTAAAGATACATTAGGCTTCTTTAAATTGCTCAACTTTAAAGAGTTAATTATTTCATGACAATCCCCCCCCCCTTCTGCAGCAGAGTACAAGAAAGGGATCAATTGTTCTATAAAAGAAAAGCTCTGTAGTGCGTTAATGTGTTACTGCAAAAACTAATCGCTACAATAAAGAGTCTGTGCTTCCACAGTGTAAGAGTCTCTGTGACTTTGATTAATGCTTCCCACGGGATACCTCAGCCTCAATATGGGCTGAAGAAACTTCCTAAATATTCAATGAGCATGGTCAAAAGATGTATAAAACAAATCAATCTGACACCTTAAGCTGGCTAGGCAGCAGTTGACTCAAGGGGAGGAAGGAATGAGATACATCATTTAACACGCTGAGTTGGAAAGCCTGGAAGCTCCTGCTCTTCAAAGCTAAAATGACACTGAATCTGTTGTATTTAGCAGTCTAAGAATTATTAGTTTACACATTAAAATCGGCACCAAGTGGAGCAAAAGAACTGGATACAGCTGGTATTTCTTTTTACAATACCAATTAAGAAGGACATTTTCGCCTCAAGTTAAAAATGGTGGTTGCATCTTATTCAGCCCTATTTAGTTTAGCTCTTTAATTTAAAATAAGAAAAAAAAAGTTACAGTGCATCATGACTCAAAGAACATTTCTCAGAATTCTAAGTGCAATTGATCTCCTGAAACAATTTGAATTTATTTTCAAATAAATGTGTTGGGCTTATTTTTACGGAAACTACCCCATTATTTCATAATGTTTGTTAAATTAGCTTTGGTTTAAAGTAAGTCACTTTAAGCATAGAACCTACATAGATCAGCACATGGCATTGAACTGGACTTCGTACATTTATTGTGCAACATATTAGGATAAATTGCAGTGTGTGGGCTGTGCTCCAAAGAGCCCTTGTATATTTTCCAAGCATTTGGTTCCAACTCAAGCTCATGTTGTATGAGAAATGACCTGAAAAAAATCTCTGATTTTTTGGAATGAATTTTTAATGGGTTTTGATAGTAATGTTTGATGGCAAGTTCCTACATATGGAAAGCCAATCCATGACTTCCTGGAACTCTACCCACGAACTGCAAAAACCAACCAACCCATCTACCCAACACCCAACTTCTAGTTTTTATAGCCACAATTGATGATAAATCATTTTCATGTTCTGCTGCAATATATTATTAGCAATTTTAACTCCCTTCCTATTAACTTTTAAAGCGATCCCAATAATTCAAGGACTAATTGCACCACATTAATGCAAATATTTTTGTCTGACATAAAAACTTGGTTTTATAGCCCAAGATATGCTGCTGCCTGAGACAGAGAAGCAAATGACACTCTATCATCAACACAAGATATATACAACCCAAAGCTAGTTTTTCACCTTAGGCATTTATTCCCCCTCTGAATATAAAAATGTAATAATAAATAATGAATTAAATACCTAACAATTTTCCATCACTTCAAAATAATTTCAGATCATCTCCTCAAAATGGTTATCTAATTCTGGGATATAGTAAGACCAGACCTTATATGGTTAAAGGGACTTCTCTAATTTAACTTAATTTTTGTCCTCTTTTTCTTTATATGTGATACATACATTGATGGTTAAATTTATATTGAGCTTCTGCTCTCACAACTAACTACACGTGTATCTGACAAATTGTACTTATATTGCTGTACTAGCAAGGAGCTCAGTAGTTCTAAAACTCAGCTGCAAAATTTTACTATATAAGATTAACAGAATGTGATCTTATGTCTTTTAGTTGGTTATTCTTGCATGAAGGCAATGTTCACAACCACATCACATATCCTAGAACAGATAGTGACAGTTTGCTGAAATAATGATTAGTTCATCATATATATTTCTCAATATGGTGCCTTCCAGATGTGTTAATGTTAAACATTTCCAGAATCACACTTGGAATTATCAGATTGTAGAGAAGTAACATATGCTATCCCAAATAACTATCTCCCAAACACTTTGTGTGGAAATTATGATTTATTTCCTTACCATTAGACATAAGTAATAAATTATACTCGTTTGTACTATCAATTTGCCATTAGTTTTAAAATTAACATTGTTACATATAGTTTGGCTAATGAACTGATGTTAAAGTTATTGGGGCATGGTATCCATTTTGGGTTTGACAGGAATTTTTTGTAGTGAATGGACAACACTGCATTAAGTTGTATCATCTGTATATGAATGGCATCATGGCATTTTACTTCCAAACAAAATAACATGGAAAGAAGCTCATCATGGAGCCCCAATCTATTTTTAGATCATATGACTTTTTTTCCCTCTTACACATGGGAAGCCTATTCAAAAGCAATGTCAGACCTTCAGCATTACCCAGATCCTGCTCATTCTTAGCTCTGTGTATTGAATGGTATGTCCAATCCTTGGAAGGTTCATTTGAATTTCGGACCTTTGAATGAACAGGATTCGAGACCTCATTATAAAGATAAAACCTGATTTTGTTGGATTCCAGCTTCCATATGATGTCCCAGCTAGCTTGGGCAGTTATAGCTGAATTTATTTATTTATTCCTAATGAGATCTAGTAAAACTAACAAAAATCATTGCTTTGTATTTTTCACCCCATCTGGAGTGTTCACAATTAGTGTATCACATATTCCATTACTCTACTAGGTTTCTCACTTTTTCTTTAGTTTGAGAATGGAAAGATTGCTATCATATCTGATATATATGTACCACCTATCTTTCTATCTTGCCTATCTAAACACAGAAACATTCACACAAACAATGAGAGATTGAGACAGAGAAGAAGAAAAAAAGGAAATGATGGGCACAAGTTTCTATTCTGTAGATTGCCTATATGAACCAGGAGCTAAACCCAGGTCAGTCTGAACAAATCTGCAGAGCAAATCAAAAGAGAAGCTGATTTCACTCATGAACTGTTACATAAAATAAACATCCCAAATGTATCAACGTGGAAACCCACCCTCCAACCCCACTCCCCAAGAAAAGAGGAATGGATCTAATATTTACATCTACTGGTGTGTGATGTTGCTGACCCCGAATGGCTGTTGCCTTCCACCACGGAAGCGGTTGCCTTTCTGTGGTGGGTGAATGATCCCTATATTGGCTGTTTGTAAAGCACTTTGGGCTTCTTCTGGATGAATGATGCTATATAAATATAAGGTGGCATAACATCAAAATGTTTCATATAAACTTGGCAACATTGTAAGAAGACTGAGTTCGGTTGTCACATGCTGAAAAAAACAACAGGCACTAAATACTAGTGAAATGCTTCTGTGCAACTGCTTGAGTTAACATCCGCTACAAAACAGAACATTAAGAGAGTCCTCATGAGGTTCTCTCAAGCCATATTGAGGTCAAGCTGTAGCGATGGCTTGAAATCTCCACAGAGATCCTTTGCATTGTTACATTGCAGATAATATTGCCACAGAAGCATTGCTTTTCTTCAGTTCGTTGCACGGTTCAGAGACAATCATCAGGTGTGGGTTAAGTATATAGAACAAAACATTTTTAAGAGGCCTGAATGGCCAAATGTGGAGTGGTCACTGACCACCCTAGACACATTCATCCTTTACACCTTCGCTGTTAGGTTTCATTTTCTGATCAAACAGTTTTTCAAAGTATTATCACAGTCTGCTAAATCAGTTTCTCCAGAAACTCTCATTGGACAGAATAGATTAACTCTATGTACCATGCAAACAAACAAACAAACAAACAAACAAAAACCATACATTAATCTAGCACAAAGAATGATATTAACAAGACTAGGACAGTAACGGTTAAATTAAGCACAATTTTAGTTACATTAAATACAGCATTGAAGCTTAGATTTTTAAACCAATTAATAAAATATGAAGGCTAATAAAAAGTAGGGAAAAACCTACTAAAACACCTGTTTTATTTTAGAAAGGCACATAAAGAGAAAACCATAAACCTGCTCTATTATAGATAGAAGCAGGCCATTCTTAATCAAAAGTACAAATCCAGATTTGCTAGCTTCTGGAGTTGGGAAGAGAGTTGAATATGCAGAGCATTTCGGAGAGAAAGGGACAGGACAAGAGGAAATTGAACACAGCAAATTTAAACTAATATAATGTTTATTTTTAAAGGTTTTCAAAATGATACCATGTATGTCATTATAATAATTGGAACCCAAACTAGTTTTTTAAAAAGATGATCAACACAAAAAAATCAAGTTGATGTGAAGAAACAATTACTTTAGAAAAAAAAATTAGGAGGTCCTAATATTCTTAGTATGAGGGGAGGATGCAGCTGTACATCGACAGCTTTCATATTCTCATTTGAATAATGTGGCCTGAATCTGTCAGTTTATTCATCCTCCTTATGTTCAGTGTACTCTGCATCAACAACAAATTAAGTTGTAAATAAGAGACAATCATCACTTTCGTTTTTAAGCAGCTACTGCATGGAGAATTTCAATGTTGCATTCCTTTTTTTGAGGGAAGAAAAAGGGATCTCCATAGTGGGCACTAATGTAAGCAGAATATTAGAAACATGGCTGCAACGGAACAATTAAAGGAGAATTTTAAATCTGTTCTCCAAAATGCCCTTAGATAGTAAGCTAATGCCACCAGTAGAAATTTACCGATACAAAACTGTGCCATTCAGCATTTGATTTTTTTTTTATCTCCGTGTCACAGTTGAGGGCAGAGAGAAACATTAGAAAGTACAATTCATAAATTCATATGTAAATCAAAGGAAGGAAGGAAGGAAGGAAGGAAGGAAGGAAGGAAGGAAGGAAGGAAGGAAGGATATAAAACTTTGTCAGCATATTTTATTAGCAGAATTAAATGAAAATTAATAGGCATTCATGAATTTCAAAGATGCGATCAAGACCAGGGAAGAGAATAAACATTAAAATAGCATTTCCTACCTTTACATCTGAGAAGTAGGTTTTCAGCATATTGGAACTTGGGTACCGAGTATAAAAGAACATAAGCTTGGCCTTTTTTAAGTGATTTGGTGACAAACCTTCCTGCATGTAGGACAAAATGAGTTAAGGAAAAATATTTGGTTTGAATGACAGCTCTCAATATTAAGGGCTAACAAAATTCTCTTGGAATAATTGTATTTCTAATAATTAGTATTCAGTTAACATAACAAGCAATTATTTAGGAAAGGGAAAATTATGAATCTGAATCTACAGTATAACTTAGAGATCTCAAGTGGCACAATTCCTTGAGCATATTGGTAGTTCCTATTCAACACAGTAATATATGGATAAGATTTCTCCTTCTTTTTTGGAAGAAGAAATGGTGGAAGAATTATTTCAAGTGTGCAATTTGCAAACATTTATGTTCATTTGTTGCTAGGAAAACAAATATGTAAATATGTGCATGTAATTTTTTTTCTTTCCTTATGCATTTTCCTTTTCCTTAAGCATCACATTGTTCACATGAATGTTATGCAGATAATACCAACAGAAACTTTCTTCTAGAGATACACTAGAGATACACCAAAGTATATTTTCTGAACATTGTTACCTTTCAGATCTGCAAACTGAACAACCAAAAGTGTTCCCGGAGGAATATGGAGCGAACTATAACAATCCAGGCATTCTGGTGCTCCTCCCCCCCACACACCTTATTGCTTCTTGGCACTCTTTTGTGTACTCTGTGCTAGGGCAGTTTTGGTCACATCTGTGAAACAGGCTGGCCCTGCCATTTCTTCTGTAAATTAATGGCTTTATAATGTATCAGAAATGAAGAAGCACATGACAAAAGTCAACGTGGCCCCACAAGGTCAATTAAGATAGCTCCCAGTAGCTTCTTGGAAGACTGTCTCCCTTAAAGCCATTCAGTATGCACATATAAACATGTCATTTATTAAACAGCACACTGCAAGGCAGGGAAAGGTCAAACAAATTCAAATTGATCCAGAAATTGAAGCACTTTCACTAACATGGTGAAAAAAATATTAAAAGGCAATATTTGTCAAGTTCCCTGATACAATTTACAGTGCGCCACAATTAACTTTTTATTGTTTTTAGGTTGTTGGTTTGGATCAATCTTTTTTCAAACAAAGCAGTAGCTTGTAGAATTTTTGAAACATGGAGTGGATGCAAATTGTATTTGTTTGTTCTGTCTGTCATATGGCTTAATTTTAATTTTCCAATGATACAAAAAAAAAAAACCCACCCCAAAACAACCATTTAAGGTTGCTGGTTTGCATAAGCACACTGCAGACCATGCTCAAAAATTGCAAAAAAAATAACTTATGATGGACATACATTTTGTGCCAGAAGAAAAGTTTAAAGGACCTCCATTAGCTTGATGGGGAAAAGTAAAGGCGCATTAATACCTTTCTGCCAACTCTCAAAATGTACATATGAAATAACAGTGACAAGCTATCACCATCTGCATAGCAATATGAGTTATGAACAAATAAAAAGTTTTCCAATAGAATTCATTTTATTACACAACTCATTGAGGGGAAGGGAAATTTATTCACACACGTGCAAATATTCACAGGATGGGTATATTTGCACTCTTAAATAACAGTTAATTGTGAGGCAGTTAACCTTGGAAATCATTTGTTGGGAATTTTTCCGAAGTAGATCCATTTTAATAAATGACAAGCACACAAGAAAACGAATGCTTTCTCTCATGGGTCTCATTCATTTTAATAATCTTTGCTAGTAGAGGTTCCTAGCTAAGTAATGGCTGTTGTTATTATTTCATTATTTTGTTTGTATCTTGTTTCTCCTGAAAAGAACTCAGCCTGATCCATATATCCTCAAAACAGCTTATAAGAATAGATTAAACAGAAGGATGGTAGTTTGGTTCAAAATCAGTTATGCATTTTATTGACCACATGGGTATCGGAATCCAGAAATTTCAATATTCTAGTCACAAACATATCTAAGTTCTTTTAATGCTATGGAATTATTAAGATTCTGCAAAATTTATATGATGAGCAAATTCCAAATTTTTCAGTCTTTTTTGCACTTCAAAAGCTTGCCCAGCACTTTTAATGCAATCTTATTTGCTTTTTTTGTTTTTTCAAAATACTTTGCTTCAGAGATGGCATTATTGCTAAAAAGCCTCACTAATAGCAACTATTAAAAATAGATAGCAAAACATTTAAAGGCCAATAGTGAGATGACCCTTTGCTAAAACTGAGTTGACCAATTGGTTAATTTTCTTTTTAAGTGCTTGTGCTGAAAAGCAACCGTTCTTCCAAGAAAGCACTGCCTGTTTCCAGGATACTTACACACGCACAATGAGTCATGATGGAATAGATTCAGTAAACATACAGCTGTACCGAACACGAGCTAAGCTCCATTCAAGGCCAGGAAAGAAAATGAGCACAAATAAATATTAAGGAGGTAAGGGGAGGGGAGGAGAGATAGAAAAGAGGTAGGAAAGCAGGGAGGACAAAAAAGCAAAGAGAAGGCAAACACGCTCTGCCCCAACAGCTGATGTTGCTTGCCTCAGTACTCTGCCATAGCTTTGTGAAGACAGATGACATTCAATTGTATGTCTAATGCAAAAGACAGTAACTGCTGAAACCTGAACCAGCTGCCAGGTGTAAAAAAAGGGGGGGAGGGGTAAAGAAAAGAAAAGATGATAAATCCATAAATTAATGAAAGACATCTGCTCAGGAACATAAAAGATCAGAGGAGCCGTGTACTGCAGCTGAACTAAAACAGTGTTCAAACAACCCGAGAATCTGATTGTTATATATTTACAAAGCATAATGTATTTCTGTGTAGAACAGCAGCAGCAGCAGAAAGGGAGATGTGAAGAACAAGCAAAAAGAAAAATTAAAAGAAAATACATATATGTATCTTAGCGGCTCTTTTTTATATATATAAATCCTCCTGATTTGAGACGTCTGGAGATAAAACATGGGGTAGGATGAGGCAATATTTTTTTCTCTGGCTGGAAGCTTCCTTGTCAGAATCGTTACAAGAAGAGATCTTTATTTTTATCCCCTTTAAAATTTTATTTATTCCCTTTAAAATCCTCTCAAAGGCTACCTATCAAATACACACACACACACACACACACACACACACACTATATCCATGCATATGCATATACACAAAGAGAGAGAAAAGAAAATATGAATATAGGAACAGACAGGTGCTTCCAATATGTATTATCTGCTTTAATCAATGCATGTCCAAATTTATAGACATTGTGTTTGTATTTAGGATTAGTATTAATAATATACTGAAAAAAAAGCTTCTGTTGATTTAATCAAAGTGCATTGGATGATGTACAGGTAGTCCTCGACTTACAGCAGTTCATTTAGTGACTGTTCAAAGTTACAAGGGCAATGAAAAAAGTGACTGATGACTATTTTTCACATTTCTGACCATTGCAACATCCCCATGGTTACATGATTTATATTCAGATGCTTGATAACTGACTCACATTTATGACGATTGCAATGTCCTGGAGTCATGTGATTCCCTTTTGCAACCTTCTGACAAGCAAAGTCAAATGGGGAAAACAGATTAATTTAACATCCGTGTTACTAATTTAACAATTGCAGTGATTCATTTAACAAATGGGATGAGAAAAGTCATAAAATGGGGCAAAACTCACTTAACATTTTCTTACTTAACAACATACATTTTGGGCTCAAGTAGTCCAGGTTGAGGACTATCTGTATAGTAGCCATGCATTTACTAAAAGTGATTTTATTTTTGCTCTGAAATAGTTCTGATCAAAGCATTGCCATTTGTTAAACTTTGTTTCTTAATAGTGCTTCTTAATACTTAATACAGCCTCATCTTGCTGAGGAATTATCTGCCTGACTTTCAAAGTTTTTCAATGTTATGAAACTACTTTCTAGAAAGGAAAAGATTATAATCTTTACTTGGGAAGAAAAATAGATGTATTACAACAATAAAACCACACCCACAATCTATTGTTGTGGCTTAATATTCTGTATGCAAATACCCTGAGGCTGAACAAGGCTACTTTTCTTGAGATGCAAAGAGGGTGCCTGATAAGGAAGATCATGTTGTAAAACAACTAGCTGTCTGTTTCTTTGGCAATTTGAATAAAAACTTGAGTATTTGATTAAACATATTTAGTTTGCAAAGATACATAATGCATTCATGAATCGGGCAGGCACTGTGATGCAGGTGCAGGTGCATCTTTCTATCTTGTTTAATGTGGCATACATAACGCTAACTCTCTTCTTTCACTTTAAAAAAAAAGTGAGATAATGATTTTTGTTTTTTTTTTTACAGTAAAAGCAAGGTATATCAGGAAGGGCTCTTGCTCCCAGAAACTTGCTTGGTATGCTTGGCTTCCATTCTTATCCTGGGTACCTTCTCCAAGGAAATGTGTGGTTTTCTGTTCCAAAGGGAAGAACAGCTATTCTTAAGAAAAACTCTTGATATATAAATGCATGAATATACATATGCATGAACACACACACACACACACACACACACACACACACACACCATGTAAAGCAGAGAGGAGCAAAGCAAAAACCGTCACATCTCTCCTATCTGCTTCCCCCCCCATGAAGTCTAAATAAGCCAAACAAATGGGCAATTGTCATAAAATAAAATAGTTTCATAATATCTATCTATCTATCTATCTATCTATCTATCTATCTATCTATCTATCTTTGGTTATTCGGGTTTTCTCCTGCGTAAAATTGGAAGTGTTTTGGCGACGTTTCGACAAAGTCCTATTCATCATCTTCAGGCTGGTGTTTTCGGCTTCGTGCTCCTAGAAACACGAAGCTGAAAACACCAACCTGAAGATGACGAATGGGACTTCGTCGAAACGTCACCAAGACACTTCCAATTTTACGCGGGAGAAAACCCGAATAACCAAAGACCTACATACAAACACCCACAAAAACCTCAGAAAAAATATATATACCTTGAGTGTTTTTTGATGGACCCTGTTGGCCCAAATATGGGAGAAAGAAATCTTTCTTTTTCTTTTTCTTTATACAGGTTACACATGCTATAACACTTGTACCAAAAGTTCTAGGATGTTCCTA